ATGTATATGATATATAGAGTTGAAAAGAGGTATAATTCTATGAGGTAAACTGCTTGCCTCTATTAACTTGCTTTCTTGGAAGAGAGTAATTATTTCTGATTGTGCTGGTGTGACTTAGCACCGGGATACAAAGACCACAGGTTTGCATGCCAAAAACTGTAAATCTAAATTTTACCCCACTATCTCTTTTCAGCTGTGTAAACAACGGAGGGAGATTAATCTCTTGGACTCTCAATAATCTACCTGTAAATTATATATAACAGTTCTTATCTTGCAGACCTGTATTTGCGGTAAATATAGATAATTTGTGTATGGTCTCTATTGTACTCCCTGTGATATAATCCATACACTAGTTTAAGTCATCCAAGAGGAAATTAGCCAAACATGAGTACTTCAGTGAAAAATGCTTGTAAGAGAAATCACGGGAGGGTGAAGGGAAGCTGGGAGAGACGTCAGATGTGTCACGGGTCAGCCCCCAAGTACAGGAGAGCCTGAAGGACGGTGATTGAGTGCGAGCATCTCTAGGACATGGCTAAGGGTATCTAGAATTTCTAAGGTGTTCTTGGTGGCTGTCTCAGGGGTCCCATTTTTCACAACATTGAGTGCTTCTCACCAGCAATGTCATGCAAATGATGGCCTGGAGGTCGCATGCGCACCGTGTGGCTTTGCTGCCGTGGGACTGAGGCATGTAGCGGCACAACAGGCAGCAGTCTTGCTCTGTCACTGTCCCTGCTGGTGAAGACCCGAGAGTCACATTCTCATGGTCAGGAAGTTCTACCTGTTGCAACACAGCCGTGCTTCTCCACACAGGGCGCGAGCACATCACTTCACGGTCCTGTGTGCTTCCCATCCTTTCCTGAGATCGCCCATAGAGCTTCAGTTCATCGCGGCGCCTCACCTGGTCCTTATCCTTTTTATTTGTCCAGTTTGAAGTTCCCCCTCCTATGCGCCTAGCAGGTGGTGATGCTTTATCTAGTGTTTTGAGGAAATTCCTTGATTCCTGGGGGCTTTGCACTTAGTTTTCGACGTCTCATGTTCCCACTGTCTTCTGCTGCTCGGTGTCCATTGCCTCGCTGTCATGGTGACTTCTCTCTGGACGCTGGGCAAAAATGATTCATTACTTCGTCGAGTGCAGTGTGGGCTGCGTTTGCAGGCTGAAGTCACTGCGACGGGGGTGCAATGCATAAGTCCCTGAGTTAGTAGATGGACAGCAAACCTGAGTGATGTCACTTGGCCCCTCAGAACATCATTTCCACGTCAGTGCTTCAGTTGTGCCTCAGCGGACCCTCCCACTGCTCTGCAGTATTTGCTACATCTGGATGACTTTTGTGTAGTGGTGGGACGCCAGCAGCTTGTGCCACCTAGCAGACTTTCAGAATGTTTGCACCTGTGTTAGATCCTGTGGTAACTTTTAATTGACATGAAGATCACATTTATATCAAGTAAATGTGCACCATGTTACAAATTAGCCTCTGCCTTAAGGAAAGCCAGTTGTTAAACAGGTACCAGCACAGGAGGGAGTAGGTGACACTCTGACCCATCCTGCCCTCATGGAAGGCCATGCCATGTGTGAGTGATATGCGAGTGGTATGGGGTTCCATGTTTGGGCACCAAGCATTCCAAAGCTCCAGTGCTAGCTGTGGCCCTCGTGGCAGAGAAAGCAAATGACTTTCAGAACACGTATTAGAACTGAGGAAGATGAGCCAGCAGTGCTTATGTGACGGAAGGAGCCCAAGGCACTCAGTCCGCTACCCAACGGTATAATGAGGACTAACTGTTGAGAAAAGAGGCAGCTTTCCTTGAAGTGTGTTCAGACCACTGAGTTACATGTCCGGGCAAAATGCGCACAGCTTATATTAATATTTCAATATGGCGCATCTGAACTGGTGTCACATTGTCTTAACAGTATCTGGCTGCCTGGTGTTTCTCCACTTCTTTGTTCATTCCAGCTGACTGTATAAGCAAATGTAATAACTGTGATTGAGAGTACGATTCATTTGACTGTGTTATTCATACTATTAAAGCAAATTATTATTTTGTTGTTTCATTAAATAAATAAGTAAATAAATTCTAAAGCTGAATTTAAAGTTGAAATCAGTCCAGTGACCTCATTGCCTAGAGGACAAGTTGTGATTTTAACGTAGAGACAAGGTGTTTTATTTCTAAATATAAACTTACCTGCAATGGAACTGGTGATGTTTAAGAGACTGGAAGTAACTTCAAAGATGCAGTAACTGCCTGCTTAGCCCTCCTGGCTTTGTTATAGAAGAGCGCTTACTCTAGACAGTATGTGGGAGAGGGCCAGTCAAGATTCTAGCGGCTGGACAGTCAGGGCAGAATGATCCAGGGTACCCAGACGTCTTAGCCTGTGGAGGAGAGGAAAGGGACATGGCGTGCACAGTCCGTGAGCTCGGTCACACGTTATAACAATATGCTCTTTTGAAAATCAACCTGGTCCTTTAGGTCGGAATGACTTTCTTCCAAAGGTGGTACCTCCGTGATCTAGTCACCCTCACTAGGTCTCACCTTGTGAAAATTCAGCTCCTCTCAATATTGTTATATTGAGGACCTAGCTTCCAGGACCTGAATCTTTGGAGGACAAAGCCTTTACAAACAAGAGCACTTATTAAGTTAGCTTGAAACTGAATGAATGATTAAATGAATTTATTTTACACTCACATACAAAGACTAGCAACTCAGGGAAGGAAAGACAATTTTTTTTGTTTTTCTTTTCTTTTTTTAAAGAAAGTTGCTACAGAAAAAGGTACAATTACTTGATAGCAGCTTTGGGATAATGATAATTAGGAATTAAATTATGTTTTAAATAAATTTTCTTAAAAGAGGAAAAATGTGTCATGGTTGAAACTACTTATATTAAAATAATTTATACTGACTCATATATGCTGTTAAAATAATGGTATCTATCAGCAAAGGGAAGTCTTATAATAAGCAAATTAAATAAATGAACTTGCACAAACATATGCGTGCAAATAGTTTTTATTTCTTGGTTTTTTTTTTTTTTTTTTTTTTTTTTTTTTT